CAGGTATTTGGTAGTAAGCTGTAAATCAGGTCTGGAAGGGAACAAATCGAAAGCTAACATTGTCTGCCTGTGTGCGTCTTTCTCCCCAGTGCCCTAGTCGGGGGGGAACAAATGTAAAAATAAAAGGAGTAGAATAACAAAGGCTGCGCAGAGTCAGAGTCTGCGAATGGAGAGGCAAACTCAATTATCGGTGTGGCGGCGGGGCGCGGGGCGAGGCGGGGCAGTCCAGCCCGAGCAATGCAATAAACGCTGGCCGCCGCGCCGCGCCCAGCCGCGCCCCCACGCGACCGCGCGCGCTCTCAGCTCGCGGTGACCGGAGCAGTGTACAGGGACTTTATTTTCGTGCACCGCTCCCTCCCTCCCTCCCTCTCCTCCGCCCACCTCCCTCCCCCCTCCTCCCCCTGTCCGGCCTCACCAGACCGGCGGCCGGGCGGCCGGGCGGGCCCCTTCTTGCGAGGGGCACCGGGTAGGCAACCTCGCGAGCCCGCGCGCGCGCCCGTGCGCCGAGTTGCCTATCCTCGGGTCGTCAGGCGCGCTGCGCTGCGCTTGGTGCGGCGCGCAGCAGGCAGCTTGGCGACCACCGCGCCGACGCGGCGTGCGGTGGGCCCGGTTTGGTTTGCCGTCGGGCGTTTTCTGAAAGGCTTCTAAGAGGTGTTTGTCGATTGATTAGGAGACTACACTTTGTGTGTTTTCCGCCTTTTCTCCCACTTCTCTGACCCGCAGATGTGTCGGTCTTGTGTTGCAGTATCCTCGGCCAGCTCGAGCTTGGCCGCATCAGCGCCGCACCTTCCCAACGGTGGCCACCATCACCACCACCACCACCACGGTCACCACCAGCCGCAGCCGCCGTCCACACAGCAGCAGCAGCAGCAACAGCAGCATCAGGCGCAGCAGCAGCAACAACAACAGCAACCGCAGCAACAGCCGCAGCCGCAGCCACACCCGTCCATGCTGAGCGCGGCGAGAATCAGGGAGCAGCGGGAGCGCGACAGGGAGCAGCGCGAGCGGAGGGAGCGGGAGCGGGAGCGCGAGAGGGAGCTGGAGAGGGACAGGGAGAGGGAAGTCCTGACGGGACACGCCCCGCCCATACACCCCGCCCACCGACCCTCCCCGATGATGGCTCATCACTCCTACCAGGTGAGGGAGAGAAGTGCCATCGGCTGGTGGACCGATACCTGAGAGGAAAGGAAAAGGGAAAATCGTTGGTAATTGACTAATGTCGTCGCTCTTCGTCTTTTTGTTTTTAGGTGCCGGAGAAAGGCCATGGTACTAGCAATGGACTTTTGAATGGAATAGCATCTTCAATCAGTCGACTAGCTGCCAACAACTGTGATTTGACGATAACAACCACTAATACTCCGTCGGGAAGTGCCTCGCCACCCCAAGCTCACAGTTTTCACAACAATAATAACAATATTAGTACTAGTAATAATAATAATAACAATAATAGCTCAAATGTCAACAACAACAATCGACACTCACCTCTACAATTACAAATTAAAAGTAGCAACACTGGGGGTGGTGGAGGCAGCCAGCATTCTGGAAGCTCTACCGGGGCTCTCAGTCCCGTATCTGATCTATTAGACGACAATCCAAGTAAGAACTTGCTCTACTGCTTTTAGTTTTAGAAAATTCCATCCGTAAACTAAACCTTTTCATTCTTTTCTCACAGATCAACCTACTATCAACCAAGCCAATACTAATATGGTGGATGGAATAAACTTGGATGAGATAAAGGAGTTTGCAAAAGCCTTCAAAATAAGACGTCTCTCCCTAGGACTGACTCAGACTCAAGTGGGTCAGGCTTTGTCTATAACTGAGGGTCCCGCTTACAGCCAAAGTGCCATCTGCAGGTTAGTAAAAAAAGTTAATGTTTACTACTGCAGTTAAATTTCTTCAGTCAATATAGCTACAGTTTTAAATTTAAGTGTACTAGAGAAAGATCTTTTGGCTGAATCCAGGTGTCTCTGTTGTGTCAGATCCTTTAAATTAATAAGTCTTTATTGAGTGCCCCTTTCTGCCTCATCCTTTAAAGTATGTAATGATCATGACATAAAAGTGGCAATTGGAGTACAATTATTCATATCAGAGTCTCTATTTACCCTTTTGTGAAAGAACTACTCTACAAACTTGTTTGTTTTTGGGTGTGCTGCACTTTTAGATTTTAAAATTTCAAGCACTATATATGCAGTCTAGGCACCCAGGAAACATCAATTACCCATTTAAAACCTTGAGCATATAATGCTAAGGACTGATTTATCCATTAAAGAAAGCCATCAGTAGTGTTAAATGTGTGATGTAGCAATAAGTAAAGTTAGTTTCTATCTGAAATGTCTTAATATACTTTATATACTTCATTTGAAACAACAGAGATGGGATAGGACCTAGCTGTCATCATGCAACTCAAACAAAATTAAGGAAGGGGAAAATGGAAAAAAAGAGAATAGCCTAAAGTAGAGAAAATTGCATGAATTGACTTGAAATGTAGCAGAAACTCTACAGGCAAAATGCCTTCAGAATTGAGATGTTTCAAGGCCCTAAATTCTCTCAACAGTTATGGCAATTTAAACATTTCATTTAATTATCTGTCTCACATCTAGCCTGTTTCTCTGAATGTGAATAGTTGAAAATAGACTCTGATAAGATTTTATCAAAAAGCTTTAGAATAATAATGAATATGATTAAGCATTTTATTTTTTAAATACCAATAGAACACATTAAATCAAAGGGCACTATAACTGTTGTACATAGATTTTAAGGGGAGTAAAATATAAATCTGTAATATCAGGTATTTGGTAGTAAGCTGTAAATCAGGTCTGGAAGGGAACAAATCGAAAGCTAACATTGTCTGCCTGTGTGCGTCTTTCTCCCCAGTGCCCTGGCCACGCAGATGATATGTGCCGCTCAGATAGCCAACCAGCGTCCAAATGTGTATGTCATATTATTCCCAGTTCTATACAATTTTTTATACTCCTTCTCTTCTCGTTGTTTGTTCGTTTATTTTAGTGACTAGAACTGGGCATGCAATGAATGTTAACCTTGTGATCAGTAAGTACTGCTAAATATGTAAATAAATAAATCAAGGGTCCAGAGCACCTGCTAAAAAAAAAAAAAATGCACTCAAGAAACACATGAATAGAGGATCTCTACTTGAGTGTTCTAGAAGATTTCCAATAATATGGACATTACGTGTCTTTTGCAGCCTCACTTTTCCTTTTTTGATAAACAAATATTAATAATTTTATAGCCTGTCAATACTTTTTAAAAACTGACTTAGGCATGCCATACGCAAATGCAAATGGGGCAAACCAAACAATTATCATGCCCTGTGCTAGTCACACCAGTACATGTCCGTTGCTTTTCTTGAAACATTCAGAGCTGTTTCCCTCTCAGTTGCTGGAAAATATTTCTATTCAAAATCTTTGGGCAATCAGCATTTAAAGGGGAATCACAGAGTTGAAGTTAACTCCCCTCCATGAGACTGGAACTTCTGATTTATTGTAGTGTACCACCTCAAGATCTCTACAATGCCTTGTTTCAAAACAAAAATATTGTTTATCATATTTAATCTTATTTTATGAAATCAAAGAAATCTAAGTTGTTTTTGTCCAACATTAGAAATAACTCTGATTCAACTTGTAAAGATTGTTACAACATGTCAAATAACTTAACGATTTATTGAAAACAGTGCATGAATTATGGCGCACTGATGGTAGCCTATTGCACTCTCCCTAACAAAATTTCCTTTTCATTCATTAATATCTGTGGCCCATTTCTGAAATATTTCTTTTCTGTCCTGCCTTTGGCTTTACCTGAACTCACGGACTTACAAAAACTAAACAGCTTCATTCTATGTCATCAAATTTCTTAAAGGCAACGACGTCATACAAGATAATGTATACTGCTCATACAGTTAAAATATTGCTACTTGAAGAGTTCAATTTATATTTTTGTAGGTCAGTGAGCCAGGGCATTAGGGCGTTGTGGCACTCTCTTGCGCTATATGCTTTTCAGTAACACTTTCCAGGCTTTTTATGGAAGAATTTATTTTTAAACGGTCCTTTTTCCCAGTCTTAGTTGATCTTTTTGGTAATTGTCTTGTAATTAGGCAAGGTATTGGTAGATTTGATGTTTCTTGTGGTCCTCTGTAGCTGCTTGGTTCATTCTTTCTTATTTTACCTCAGAGCATGAGACAATACTGCATGAATAGGTTCTCCTTAGTTACTGGAAAATTACAACCTAACAATAATTTCCAATGAGTAGTTTCTGCCCAATAGCATTTCAATCTAGTAGAAATTAGAAGTAACATTTAATGAAAAAATCTTTTGAAGAAAAGTAAACCTGTTTTTTCTTTTTATTTCAGATTTGAGAAACTTGATATCACCCCAAAGAGTGCCCAAAAGATTAAACCTGTTTTGGAACACTGGATGAAGGAAGCAGAGGAAAGGTATGCTAGAAAATAGAAAAGCAAAATTTATTTAATGTAAATTTTATTTTATTTAAAATTTGACAATCTATTTTTTAGGTACAAAATAGGACAAAATCACCTAACTGAATTCATTGGAATGGAACCATCCAAGAAAAGAAAACGGCGCACTTCTTTCACTCCACAAGCTTTAGAGCTACTAAACCATCATTTTGAAAGAAATACTCATCCCTCAGGTATGGGCAAATTGTTTATAGGATTACCGCTCAGCATTAGCCTTCTTGACTGCACCTTCCTCTTTGGTATATGTCAATCAACTGGGGTCATAGTTAGCACCCTGGATCAAAATGTGAAGGTAGCGGATGTATGGATAGCTTAAGGTGCAATGTCAATTCACCTACACTTTGGTTCAAAAAACACATTACCTAGTACACTTTGCAGGTTTAAGTTGATTAAGATGGAAATTAAAATCTAATGAGTTCTTCTCCTTTCCCTCACAGGTACTGAAATCACTGCACTTGCTCATCAACTGGGTTATGATCGCGAGGTGATACGCATTTGGTTCTGCAACAAAAGACAAGCACTAAAAAACACAGTTCGAATGATGTCCAAAGGTCTGGTTTCGTAAGCCAATAGGATTTAGGATGATTATTTCCATTTTTTGATCTTGAAATCATTACCTTACGAACAGATAGTAATTGGACTAAAGATGAAGAGTTAAATGGTGCTAGAAAAGCTTGACTTTTCAAGTGTGATAAATGCAGGACACTATAGCTGCATTGCATTTGACCTACAAACAAGAAGTCATAAGTGATCACAAACTATTCAGTGACTGAAAACTTGGTTAGTTACCCTAACACAAGTTGCCTTTACAGGGTGATATCTTTCAAAAGAAAACAACTTTGACAAACTTGTGATTATTTTACTGAAAGTGAAAAGTGTTGTCTCTAGTCCTAAATTAATTTGAGAAATCTTCTCTCCTACTTCCACGGCATTAGATGCTGACATTTATTCCCTAATTGTTCAATTGTTTTGAGGCAGAGTCTGTTAAATTTGTTCATGTCTTCACTTATTACATGAGTACAGTATTAGCTAGCTAAAACCTAAGGTTAGTCTTCCTGTTAATATATACAACTGTGCTTTATTGTCTGGGTTGAAGTCAGTCCCACAACCCAGAAAGGAAAAGATTTGAACATTTAAACATGCTCCTATGAAAATGTTTTACTTAGTCTTGTTTTTTCCTTCACTGTATGTAGTAGAGAAAGACTTCTCAAAAATGCAGTGTTTGGAAGCAATGGTTGCTCCTTTGATAGAGATTTGACAGTATCAAAAGTGTCAAGAGTGATTTTTTTTATAAACCATACAAATATTGCTAAAGACCATTGAGTTGTATTAGCCCAGTGGCTATCCAAATGAGACAAAATATAGCCTTAAGCAAAACTAACTTTATTGTGATTGTGATGTGCCATCTTCTGAAGATCAGAGAAAAATGGCACAGCTAGACCCTGATCAATGAGGGCATGTGCTTTGCAAAGTCAAAGAAGGCTCACAAAGGTGCCATAGAGCTGAAGAATAATGTAGAGAGTTGTATTTGTCACATATGCCCTGCTTTTTCAGAGGCTTTCTGTGCAAAATTTTTATTACATGTAGTAGCCTTATGAACTTCCTCATTTCACTCACCTCCCAGAGCTAAAACTCCCCTCTACTTCATGTACACATATTTGTTAAAACAGTTCCTTGTGGTGCACATCCGTGTTTCATGTTACTTACTGGAAATCTAGTTTTAGTTAAGAACTTTTATGCACTAGTTCTCTTGGAAGTTTGAAAATTAATTACAACCAAAGAAATCATAAATTATAGGGAGTAATAAATCAGCAGACGTATACTGGACCATTCAATTTATATGAATCTCTTAACAAAAATCGAAAACAAAAATTTGTGATATTGAATGAATTACGATGAAGAACTAACAGTCTAAATACATTTTACTGATCTAAGCAGTAAAATTTTTTGCTGTTAATACTATGGAAACCTCTGTAATTTGATTACTGTAAGAAATTTGAGTGCAATAAGTTAATTTTAGTTGTTTTAGTTCTTAGAGAGTTGATGTTGTCTTCATAGAGGAGAAATTATAATATTGTTATGTTAAATGGAAATGAATGCATTTATGACAAACCAGCAAATTCCTTACTACTTTCAACTGAACCTAAACTTTTGTGACCCGACATGGTACCAATCTACCGTACGGGTTGCTCTGATGAGGATCATTCATTACTCACCATAATCAGTCACCTATTACTGATTAACACAGATCAGTCATCCAAAAAGTCATCCATCATGTCAAAATTTCCAATTAAATTATTATCATTCCCAGCATCGGATGGACCTGCTTCTAGTCCAGCATCAAAATCTTTATCCTTTCTCTTCTTTTTTGATGAACCAGAACTTAATTCTTCGCTAATTTTAGTTATTCGTTCTTTCTGTAATTGCATCAAAACAAGTATTATACACATTCATTATACTGAACAAAGAAGATCTTTTAGTGTTACACAGCAAATTTGCTGGGAACAATGGATTGACACTGGTTTTAGCTGTGCATTGGAATAGTCTGCATATACACCCTGCAATATGTATCGCTCCCAGCAAAATTGGTAAGTAATTCAAAAAGACGTTCCAGGCGCAACAGTCGTAGCTAAAGAAGAAACACTTACTAGTGACTCGTTTTTACGAACTAGAAGCCGTACATCATCAGCATTTATTGTAGTATGCTTGGCATGTCTGGGATAAAATGAAACATTATATTCAGCAGTTACCTCAAAATATTAGCTTATTATCACTCAATAATAGAAACAGACCGTGCAAATAATTCTAGATCGGTTCCATAATCTTGAACTTTACGCCAAACCATCTCTGCAATCAGTTCCACAGACTGCTTATCAAATGTAACTTTTTGTGTCAATCCAGATCCTACTTCATTACAAATTTTTTTGACATCACACAAAACAGTGAGTTTCAATTTCTGAAAATAAATTTACATCATTTTTTAAAATGAATTAGTCAGAATGTGTTTGAAATTATGGAGCATCTAATAACTTACATCAGATTCAGTCAGAGAATCAAAGTTCGGAAAAGACATTATTGGGGGTAAAGCTCTGCAGTATCTAAAAGTGTCAACCAATTTAAAAGAAATGTCAACTGTCAACGACAAATAAGGCAGATAATATGGCGAAAAAGGTAACATTTGACATTTGGATTGGTTACATTTTCAATTTTTGCTGCATGTACAGCTGGTCAGTCTTATTGGCAGACACTCGAACTCGAACAGCCTTCTCCCCCCCTACCCCCTGTGCCTCGCACAATGTAAATAAACAGTGAAGATCGGCGTTTACTGCTCCCTATCGATAATACATGCCCCAATGTAGAAATTTAGAATTTTAGGGTGGACAGCGATATTAATGGTAAGGTATAGTGCTTGATTGTTTAATGTCCGGAATATTGAATTGTTCTGTTGCGGTTATTGTTGGAGGTTAGTGTGCTCTAGCCTGGTTCCATTCCAATTTTACACACAAGCACCTGGCTACCTGGCTCTCTGTAAGCTTTGATGAGCAGGTGTTGAATGAATGAATGAGTACACTCCTCCATTCCATGCAGTTTGTTAGATACTCTTGTATGTCATTATTTGCTAATGGGTTAACTGTCATGTTTTATCCTATATCATATATTTTACTCAATATTATTCTCGTGGAACAGAAACCTTTTTTCACTTTCTGGTTGGGGTGCAAACCGAGTGGTACTATCCCCCAAACAATCAATCAATGTGCGTTGCAGCTAATTTGCAGCTGCCCCTTCGTATACTTAATGCTTGTTTCCCATGCCAAATTAGTTATTTGAAAGACCATGGACACTTAGAGACGTATGGGGGGGGGAGGCATTTAAAAGTGTATTGTATGAGTAAATTATATGTAATTAAAAGTTGGTGAGCGCTAAAAGTACCGTTTAATATGATTGCAGGAACTTGGCCCAGAAATGTTCTTGACATGATCAAAGAAGTCTGTGGAGTCATTTTACCCAAAATAATAGGTGAGTTGACATGACAGTAACCAACGCTGGTCCAATTTTTGTCTGCGACTCTATGAGGAGCTTCCTTTCGTGTGCATCAAAGGGTGGTTTTTGATGTTTTTTT